CTTTTTGTCAGGTATACAGAGAACATTTTTTAATTCCACAAATAACCTTTAAGTGAAAAGATTATTACAGAACTATTCTTTTTCATAGTATGAAGAACATTTTCCACTGTAAAGAATGTTTTAGAGAATGAAAAGCTTCCATGGGTCAAAAGTTTAAATAATAAATAAACTTTATTTTGAACTCTCAGAAAATAACCTTTGCTGCTTGTTTCAACTCCTTATTTAAAATGAGTTAAAACAACACAATTCTTAAGCTATTTTGTAACAACTTAATTGTTTTATGTTCAGTTAACTTAACTTTGTAAAAACGATTAAATTAACTTCATCAATTTGTTTGGGACAACAATTGTACGTAGCAAAAAATTTTTTACAGTGAAGACTGTGATTAACAGTGATTAAACATGACTATATTTAAGTAGACTGCAATATATTTTCTAGCAAAGCTGTCTAATTCTAAATCAAAGCATTTTACAGTGTGTATTTAGAGGGTATGACTTCACCATTTCCACCGACAGCAGTGAAAACAGAAGGACTAAGATAGAAACAGAAGTCTGTGTGACATCCTGGTATTCTCATGCAAGGTCTTGTGATGCATGTGCTGTGATATATAAATATAGAGGCACGGCGAACGTGTCATCCAGAGGAAACGAACAATTTCAGCAGAGCAACAAACAGAGCATAAATCTGACAGCTGTCAAAACACCTGCAGTGTGCAGCTAATGGGAGTGAAGTGAACACACATTTACTAGCATGGCCATACAAATGCATAAAGGATTTAGGAGGTGCTGCAGTTACATTAATAACATGGGAACTCCTTCAATTTTTTATGCGAACAGTGATTTAATCAAATCTTTGATCTTAAATCAATCTTTACCTTAATTAACCTAATTATGTCTCTAAAATGCACATTAAGCTGAATAAAAGTATCTTGCAAAATAACATTAATAATAACAACAACAATAATGATGATAATATAAAAAAAAAAAAAATAGGTACTGTCAACTTAGCAAAGACAAAATACATTCATCATTCATTTATTTACTTTCTGACGCTTTTCCCGGGCCGGATCAAGGGGGCAGCAGTCTTAGGAGAGAACCCCAGACTTCCCTCTCCCCAGACACTTCCTCCAGCTCCTCCAGGGGGGTACCCTGAAGCGTTCCCAGGCGACCCGAGAGACATAGCCCCTTCAGCGTGTCCTGGGTCTTCCCCGAGGCCTCCTCCAGGTGGGACATGCCTGGAACACCTCCCTAGGTTGGCATCCGAAACAGATGCCCGAGCCACCTCATCTAACTTCTCTCGATGTGGAGGAGCAGCAGCTCTACTCCGAGCTCCTCCCGGTTGACAGAGCTCCTCACCTTATCCATAAGAGTGTGCCCTGCCACCCTTCGAAGGAAACTCATTTTGGTCGCTTGTATGCGAGATCTTGTCCTTTCAGTCATGACCCAAAGCTCATGACCATAGGTGAGAGTAGGAACCAGTAGATTGACTGGTACATCAAGAGCTTTGCCTTTCGGCTCAGCTCCTTCTTCACCACAACGGACCGGTACATCGACCGCCTGACCGCCAATCCGCCTGTCAATCTCACGTTCCGTCCTCCCCTTACTCGTGAACAAAACCCCGAGATATTTGAACTCCTCCAAGGACTTTCCTCCAAAATGGAGATGGCAAACCACCCTTTTCCACCATGGCCTCAGACTTGGAGGTGCTGATTCTCATCCTAGCCGCGTCACACTCGGCAGCAAACTGCCCCAGTGCATGCTGAAGGTCCATGTTCGATGAAGCCAACAGAACAACATTGTCTGTGAATAACAGAGATGAAATCTTGCAGTCCCTGAATTTGTTGCCATACAAATAAATGTCAGTAATTGACATCAACATGACATTGGTTTAAAATGTTGGCTCAACGTTTTGGTCACTTTACAACACAACCTAAAATCAACAAAATATCATGTCATTTCACAATGCTATTGGACGTCAAAAAACATTTTCCGTAGCGTAGATGTTGACAACCTAAATCAAACCAATATTACATCTTTTGACATTGTGTGTCAACTGGATTTTTTGTTTACATATATTCAAATGCAAACAGCACAGTTTTTTTATAAAGTGCCATCTTTGGGTATTTACATAGAAAACACTGCTTATTTCTTTGTGATCCATTTTCACTCAAGTTATATTTACACTTGCACTTTAAAACCGTTTTTAAAAGTTTACATTTTCAAGCCCACAACACTTTAGATGTGTAAATGAAAAGACAAAATACCTAAAGTTTTCAGCTTGTAGTAAAAAAAAAACATGTGTAAATGTAGCGAACTACTGAATCATAAAACACAAAAGAAGATAGTTTGGAGAATGTTGCAAACCTGTAACTATTGACTTGCATAATATTTGTACTATGGAAGTCAATGGTTACAGGTTTTTGACATTCTTTAAAATACCTTCTTTTTTGTTCATTAGAACAAAGGAACTATAAAGGATTGGAACAATTCGAGGGAGAGTAAATGTGAGTACATTTTTATTTTTTGGTGAAGTATCCCTGTGGGTGTTTGAAAAAATGATTGAATAGAAAATTACTTACTGTACAAAATCACGACAACATGGACCTTCACAAATAAAATTTATTCTTCATTATGCATTGAGAAAAAAAAAGAAAAAAGTCATGTACTTCAGCACACAATATAACACTAAATATAGGAGGACAAATTGGATCTGGTCCACTTAGTGATTAAGATGTTCAATAGTGAAGAAGAAAAACACATCAGGAGAAATACACACTTGCCAACGACACACTGATGTTTCCCTTAAACAAAATTAAGCCTGAATTAAACTGCAAGTGAAAGATATTTTCCTTTTACATCCACTGAATGCTCGCAATTGAGCAGCAAATGTAAAACCAGTGACCATATTTCTTCGTTAAGTACAAAGTCTTGTTGTATAACACATTTACACCTTGAAAGAATCCAATTTGCTGCTTCAGCGCACATACAATGTTAGCTTGTGCCTCGAACTGTTCAGTCAAAAAGTTGCTTTTCAAGCCATTCGTTCATTTGTTAAAAAGCGGCCCAAATGAAAACGGGTTTAGACAGCTGACATCCTCAACACATCGTGGATTTACAGTGAATGCTATAATCCCGACCAGTCCAGCAACAGTGCAGTATTAAAAGTCTGACACAAGCTGAAGAATAACATGAAGATCAAAAAGAGAAATAAATAAAAGAACAGCCCAGTGAGCAAGTCATGGTGCGTTGTGTCAGTGTTGCTCACAGCTGCGTTCAGGACGTCCAGGTGCAGAGCTGATCCCTTTATTCATGCAGACGACCACAATCTACAGGCCAAATACAGACTTCTCAGAATCCACATATTTAGAGCTCTATGTACAAAATTATACACGTTCTGGATGTTAAAAATGGGAGAAGAGGGGGATTTGGCGTTTTGAATAACCCCAGATTTCCACTTGTTTCTGGATGGAGTTTTTCGACACATTGTGATGTTTTTTAAATGTATTTCTGCAATAATTAAAACTGTTTATGCTTATTATTTAAGGTGAGAATGTTTTATTGATAATAATTATTATATATAATGCTATATATAGCCTATAGATCATTTCAATGTGGTGATGTCACTGACCCATGAACATTTCCTGCTTGTTTTCAAACTTTTTCATAACAAAAGGCAATTCAATCATAACATTAAAACAGCTATCATAACATTATTTAATATGTTGCTCTTTTTGAATTTGCTGAAGATATTAAAATTAAAAATACAAAACATGAAATACGCTGGGAGTATTGTTTTTGTTTACATCCCACAAAATGGTCAAATGGATGATGAATTTAGCTAGTCATTATTATTTTTAAGAATTAATTGTATGTGAATCCTTAAATAACTGATTCTAAATTGTTTGTTGGATATCTGCATCTCGAAGTGATTTACAATCCATTCTCATTACAAATATAGAATGGAGTTTGGCAAATGTTGCATATTCAGATGGAGTAATGTGTCTCCATAATTTCACAGCAGTGCATTACATTAGATATTTCTATCATTACAATGGATTTTTTTTATTGATAATCACACTAATCTCTAATGCATTTTCAGGCATGGTCAGAATTAATGATAAACATTTGCTGATAAAACTGTTAACTGACACTGCTTAATAAAAATGCTGAGTTCCACACAAGCGATATCTGTTGGAACAATAATTAGGGTAGCTTATTAAGTTGTCAAAAACAAAAAAAAAAAAAAAACTGAAACCCAGGTGTGATGAGCAATCAATCACAATGACTGAATGAGATACACATTTGTAGTCAAAAACATTGCAAAAATATTCCATGTCACTTCAGTGGTTCAACTGAAATCATATGAAGCTTCAGGAACAGTTTTGTGTGGCAAAAAATTTATCACATTAATTAAATTGATAACCTGTAAACTCGCACATTACACTCAAAAAATTATTTTGTTGTTTGTTAAAACTACTCATTTAAAATGAGCTGAAACAACAAACTTCTTGAGTTTTTTGAGAGGAAAACTTATTTGTTTTAAGTTCAATCCACTTTTTTTCATTGGTTAACTTAAATTTAACTTATTTCCTTCATGTTGTTCCAACACAATGTGATTGTGTAAAACCTGCCATTTTTACAGTGTAATCTGACATGAAAAACAGGTGAACAACAATGATATTAGTTTGTTTGGAACAAAAACATAATAAAATTACAGCTAAACCACGGATGTCACATGGAACATTTGACATTAATTTTGGTTTCTTTTCTGGACTTTGAACTTCTCTGGACTTTTCCTGTCTATACACTCAAAAATGTTGTTGCTTGTTCAAACTACTTAATTAAATGGACTGAAACATCCCAATTCTTAACATTTAATTGGGACAATAATTTTTTTTTATGTTTAATCCACTTAAAGTTGTAAAAACTAATAAGTTAACTTAATTTCTTTATGTTGTCCCATCATGAATAAGTTGTGTGGAACCCAGCTTTTTCTGCAGTGTGGACCCAGCAAACAATTTTTTGTTTAATAGACGTCTAATAGACATCTAAAAATAAGAACTTGGCTAAAACAAGGCTAAAGGCTGTCAGTGAAAATGTAATAGACATCTAAGAATAGCTCAAGACTAGTGATTAAATAGACAGATTAAACAGATTTTATATGTGCAGTCATTCATTTGTGTTAATTTGATGCCTAGTTTAGTTTTGACCTATTCTTAGTCGTCTATTAGATTTTTACATACAGTTCAAATTCAGCCTTGTTTTAGCCAAGATGGCTATGTTGAGACATCTGATAGACGTCTATTAGACATCTTTTAACAAAAAATGCTTGCTGGGGAGGGTCAGAGAACTCTATTCTCTACTCTACTCTGGATTCTATCTAAAATATCTTAATTTGTGTTCAGAATGAAGCTCTCAGGGGGTTTAGAAGGACAAGAGGGTGAGGGATTAACAGAATTTTCATTTCTAGGTGAACTAATCCTTTACATATATTTTGTTAATTATGTATAAGCAGATTTATTTATTTTTTAGTTTTCAAAGACATTTGATAACCCTGTTTATACAATACAAACCTACTGCTCTGATGAAGAAATTTATTAATCGCATGCAGCAAACTATCATGTACACCTAAAAAACTAAACAAGAATAATTTAGACTTCAGACCTTAAAACAATTGAAGCATCCATATAAAAAACTGCTGGGGATGGAGGGTTTCTCTATCCGATCATATCCTCTACTTAAGTCGTCATTGTCAGTCATGGCCCTGCATTATCCCTTACATAGCTCCTTTCAAATGACATCTTGTAGACATGCTTGCCAAAATCCGCCATGCTTTTCATGTCTACAAGGTACAAAATGTCATCCAGACTGCCGGAAAAGTCATCATTTACACCCAGCTATATTGTAGTCTCAGGTGTGTGTCTAGAAATGACCCCGTGCTCTGCCTCTCGTTTCCCATTCTGTCCATTGGGAAAAAGCAAAGCCATCCTGTTGGACTTACAGGGACTTGTGGCCTGAGAGCCGGATCTCATCATCCCAGGAAACGGGCTTCCGGAGAGGGACGAGGAGGATGAGGAGGTGCAGGGGCCCCAGCCTGGAAGGAGACCGGATGCGGGACGGGAGCCCACGACTCTGCTGAATAACGTGGGGCTGGGCTGCGATGGAGCCAGGGTCTGCAGGCTGCCATTCATGCAGATGGAACTGGTGTCTGAGTAGACATGGTTGGCGTTAGGCACGCGGTAGTTGTACGCCCTCCAGCCCTGCTGCTTCTTCTGCTGACACTGGCAGCGGAGGATCCGAATGAAGGCCTGCTTGAACTCCCGACTGTAGCACGGGTAAATGATGGGGTTCAGGCAGCTGTTGAAGTAGCCCAGCCAGAAGATCACTTTGAAGAAGGTTTCAGGAGGACGGAGACTGGTGTTGAATGATCCTAAAGACAGGAGAAATAAAGAGTAAACAATCTGAATGTGTGATGTTTTGTCTTCTTTCACCAATAGATGGCAGAATTTACCAACATTTACCCACAACCACACATACTACAAGACAAAACTTCCTTTGAAGATGTTTTTTTCTTTTCCACTCATATTCTCATGAACATTGTGTGAAGATCTATATGTCTTTTATGTTTTCTCTTCAATGCAGTCTCATCATCAAGTTGCTCACAAACACATACACAAATATGAAAAAATGTACACTGAATAAACGATTCATTGGATTTATTATTTTTTGTTTAAGGTAAGTGGTTGCAAACATTTTATATGGGCTGAATTTAAACAAACTAAGTGCAATAATGTTCAACTTCATTTGTTTGTTTAAATTCAACAATTAGCAATGAAGCATTATTTTCAGTGTTTTTTGATCAGGACAATTATGGTGAACAAAACATGATTAACTGTCATTAAATTGTGACTGGCAAAAATCTGAAGAAAAAAAAAGTTCTATTATTTTAATTAAATGTAAACACTATACTGTAAAACCCAACAGTCAACTTTATCAAATAAATGATTGTAGTTAACTCAAAATTGAATTAAAGTTAATTCTACTCATTTGAAAAGAGTTTTGAATTCAGTGTTGAAGGTAATGAGTTATTTAAATACCTCATTACTTTAACTTAAATGGATATATAGGTTAGTTTTTTTTTTTTTTTTTTTTTTTTTTTACCTCAAATGGTTTAGGTTGCCTCACCTTATTGGGTTTTACAGTACTCAGTTGGTTTGAGTTCATTTAATGGGTTTTACTGTGCTCAAATTGCTTCGTTTACTCAAATGTAGTAAATTCACAGTACTCATTAGGACTAGTTTTTGAACTTAAATGGTTTGTTGCAATTGATTTACTCAAATGGTTTGAGTTACCTTAACTTAACTATAAACTATATAACACTGTTTTAAATCATATGTTGTATGGTGAGTCAAACTATTAAAATTTAAACGTAGTTAAATATTATTGATATAAATAAAAATGTATATTATTAAAATAATTTAATATTATGTAATGATAATATCATAATATTATCATTATTATTACATTGCACAAAATTGTCCACCACCGCAATCATAGAGTAGTTTAGCACAGCAGTCAAATTTAAAAAATATATGCAGTTGAAGTCAAAATTATTAGATCCAGTAAATAATATTTTATTAGATATTTTTCAAGACACTTCTATACAGCTTAAAGTGACATTTAAAGGGTTAACTGTATTTAGGTGAACTAGGCAGGTTAGAGCAAGTTATTGCATAATGATGGTTTGTTCTGTAGACTATAGAAAAAAAAATTGCCTAAAGTGGCTAATAATTTTGTTCTCAAAATGGTTATTAAAAATTAAAAAACTGCATTTATTCTAGCCAAAATAAAACAAATACGACTTTCTCCAGAAGAAAAAATATTGTCAGGCATACTGTAAAAATTTTCTTTGCTCTGTTGTCACCGACTCAGTCCCAGTCATTCCCCTCGCTGGCCAGCAGAGGCCGCCATCTCCGGACTTCTAGCATTACATCATCCACTTACACTGATCGTGCACACCTGATTCAGATTCCAGCTAACGACCCACATACCCTTTATAAGCCGCACTCAAACATTCACTAAATGCGAAGTCTTGTTCAGCCCCGGCCAGCATTACTGAGCGGTATATCCTGCCTGATCTCCTGTGCATTACTCCAGCCTGATCTCCTGTGCATTACTCCAGCCTGATCTCCTGTGCATTACTCCAGCCTGATCTCCTGTGCATTACTCCAGCCTGATCTCCTGTGCATTACTCCAGCCTGATCTCCTGTGCATTACTCCAGCCTGATCTCCTGTGCATTACTCCAGCCTGATCTCCTGTGCATTACTCCAGCCTGATCTCCTGTGCATTACTCCAGCCTGATCTCCTGTGCATTACTCCAGCCTGATCTCCTGTGCATTACTCCAGCCTGATCTCCTGTGCATTACTCCAGCCTGATCTCCTGTGCATTACTCCAGCCTGATCTCCTGTGCATTACTCCAGCCTGATCTCCTGTGCATTACTCCAGCCTGATCTCCTGTGCATTACTCCAGCCTGATCTCCTGTGCATTACTCCAGCCTGATCTCCTGTGCATTACTCCAGCCTGATCTCCTGTGCATTACTCCAGCCTGATCTCCTGTGCATTACTCCAGCCTGATCTCCTGTGCATTACTCCAGCCTGATCTCCTGTGCATTACTCCAGCCTGATCTCCTGTGCATTACTCCAGCCTGATCTCCTGTGCATTACTCCAGCCTGATCTCCTGTGCATTACTCCAGCCTGTTTCTGACTCTGCTTTGCCTTCTGCCTGCCCACAGCCCAAGTCTGATACACGGACTTTGATACTCACTGCCTGCCCTCGACCCAAGCCTGATACACGGACTCTGAATCACGCTGCCTGCCTTTGACCCATGCCTGGTAAATCACTCTGTGTCTGCTGCCAGCCTTGAGACCATTGTTGCTACTTTTGATGTGTGTTTGCACCTTTGTGAATATTGAATGTTTGAGTAAGAGCGTGATTAATAAATACTGCATAATGGATCCCTCCATGTCAGTCTCCTTGTTACATCTGTTAAACATCATTCAGGAAATATTTGAAAGAAAAAAACAAAGGGGGTCTAAATTCTGACTACAACTGTATAATTATTATATTTAGTTGTAAATGAATTTTAAGAAAACTAATCATTTAAAAAGTAGAGCATAAAAATTATATTTTATGTGATATGAAATTTAAATAAAAGTAAAAATGGTGCATTTTAGGACTGTTGGGCCCCAAAATGTCTCTAAACACCATTCAAATGTGCTGGTTTTATGGGTGGCAATATTTTGAAATTATTATTACTTATTTATTTTTATTGTTGTAAACTATGTCTGTGATAGCCTAGATTGTTTTGTTTCAGCAGAAAAATAAAATAGAATTAAGACATGTCTGCGAGATTATGCTTTGTTTTGAGAAAATAACATTTATAATGAACCACATTAATTAAATTTGTGTTGCGTTGATTCATTTTGCAGCTCTAGTGGATTCTAGTTTGCGTCATATTAACTGAACTGTAAATAAAAGTAGAAATAGTGCATTTTAGGACTGTTAGACACCTATAAGCTGGAATTGCTTAGGACCCCCAAATCACAAAATCTGCCCCTGATAAAACAGCAGATCACAATATTAAATACTATGAAAAATTATAATTATTTCTGTGATTTTTTTTTTGCTTTTGGGGTTCAAAAAGATTCACGCATGTTATCCGTCTGACATTATTTTATATAATTTTGTTCTTGATTGCTTTTAGTTTTATAGTTTTAATTATAGCTTTTTTTTTTTAGTTAACTATAATAGCTCTGTTAACAAGAACGTAAAATGCAAAATATGTGTAAAGTATTTTTGATTATAGTTAATATTGATTTAGTCATTTACTAATAAACTATTCAAATTAAATTGTGTTTTTTAGACACAAGAGCTAAAACAAAATGATTGTTTATTTTTTCAAATATATTTTTAATGTATTATAATTATTATTTTGAATTCAATTTATAAAATTATATATTTTTTGCCATTTTTTAAAATGTTTATTGTACAAAATATAATATTTTTTACAATATAAAAAATTAAGCTATAGTAAAATATTAATAATAAAATATTAGATTTTGTGGTGGAAAAAATCCAAATATGGTCCAAATTATTATATTTTTTCATCCTGAATTTAGTTTCATGTTTTACTTAAAGTATCACCATAACCCTGCTCTATTACAAGATTCCTTTAGTTAACTACATCAGCAAAATGAGCAAACAACTAATATATATTTTAAATTCATAGTTGATGTTAATTTCAACACACACACACACACACACACACACACACACACACACACACACACACACACACATATATCCTTTCATAAGTCCATTTCTGCACACATTCCTCCCGGAACAAAGAGCATCATTTGAATAACCGTTCCTTTGCTGTGCACTCTGTGAGCTTTTACAAGAATGAATCAAAAATAGAATTCAAAATCAATGCCTTGTGATGAAGATGACAAAAGTGCTTTTATAATTTTACTCTGGATTCACCCAACTATCTATTAAAAAAAAACCCTAAAACAAACCAAACTGGCTCTTAGAAGGGTGGCATTTTCAAACTGCAAATCTTTCTCAGCGTTCCACTCCTCCAGACTCTGAAACATTCAAAAAGGTCACCCGAATCCATCTTGCTTTTCCAGACTGTGAGCGCAGCTCATCTCCGCTCACGAGTTTATGAGTTCACTTTTCCCTAAGGAAATTCACCACTGTTTCACTCTTCTCTAAATGCCTGATGTGCGGCTCACATTCCCTTTTTTGGCTCTCGTCTCCTTTACTCTCATCTCATCTTACCAATTAGACAAAAATAAGCCAAAATTTTAATGGGATATCGAAATTAAGGCTTTTTATTTATTTATTTTTTACTTTTTATTAAGTGTTATTCAGTCTAATGTAAGAAAGTATCCCAAAACACAATTTTGAATGTTTATTTTGTCGTAATTTTTCAATTTATGTAATTTAATTTTGAATTCAATTACACACATATTTTTATAGGCTGTTTTAACATATTACAGACTTTATGGTTTTATTTAAATCTGTACTCTGAAAGTTTTCACAGATGGATGCATCCATGCATCATTTTCTGGATTATATATAACATTTTATTAAACAAAAAAGTGCCTTTTTATAGGTAAAAGCAATAAGACACAAAATTGAACCTCCCTTTATCCAGTGTTCCAGTGTATTCAAACATTTGTCTGATTTCATTGTAATGAGTAAAGTGGGCATGCATGGTGATAACCATATTGGTCTAGATTTACTCGACAATGGTGGGGACACCTTTGTCCATGTTAATTCTACACCCTTGGTGAAAAATATCGTCTAATATTGGTATGTCTTGGCTTACTATTGATTATTTTCTGTACATTGCATATCG